AGTGAAGACTCAAGAGATCAAGAGGTCAGAGTGTTGTAATAAACTAAAACAAACTTAACTCAACATTAACGATACATTACTATAATAAAGTCTAAATGCGTTCAGTGAAGTCATACCCCATTCTGGCACTTGATAACATTGTATCCTATTTAAAAGAAGAAACGATTGTTTTGTAATCGAGTTACTTCTCATTAATCGGCTCTGCGAGGTGCTATTGTTATGGACACGTCCATTGCACCCTCAAACGACAGGCGCAGACTCAAACAACTGTCGGTAGAGGGCGCATACGAATGACCTAACTCGTCGAAATGTATTCATGACTGTGCCGTAGTTTTGTTTACATTCTCGTTCTCGTCACAGCCCTGGAAATGCAGGACATTAGCTCACTGCTTTATTCTAGTTCACGGCTTCTTGTTGAGGTCGTCGTACAGACTGGCCTTTCCTTCCAGTACCCCACCCCATATAGTTTATTTGCACGTACATTCCAGACTTTTTGCATAACATTGCAGCTAAAGAGTTTATTTTTCAATTCAATAATTGAAGCAGCATAACCTTTGACCCATATATGAAACGCATTAAGCCACTTACTGGTCAACGATTATACATTTGTCCCTTAAAAATTAAGCAGAAATATTATATCTGTTCGGGCATTGTACATATCTCCCAGCTTCTCCCGTTTTATGTCATCTGTAACATACTATTATATGAATCACGAGTTTAACTACAAACTGTATTTGCAAGTTCAGAAAAATGCAAACAGTTACAAGACAAACAGGGAAGTAAAAATAGGCTCTATAATAATTGTATCCATGATCTGGTCCAAGTTCTGCTTCACCCCCAGTAACATTGCTGTGACAGAGACCATCAATTGAAACACTTCAAAAATGATATTGAAGATCCTCGTCTTCATTCCCGGCCGAACACGTCCCCAGATTATAACAGGTCATCGTGCAAGCATACTTGAGAAATGTACACCTCATCCCATTTTATAATTGGTCAATGACCCAAATGAAATTGATGTTTGATACAAACTTGAATGGTACAGAATTTTGACCCTTGATTTTGATCTCTCTCGCCATCGTGTTCACAGTTACAAATAAATGGATCAGATTAACGGTGGACAGGTGGCGAGAGATAATAGAACACGATTTTAGAGGCAAAGACACGTCTCGTAGCTCGCTCGCTATCAATAAGATCTAGGCAGCCATTACGATGAATAAAATAAATACGTATTGGCTCCCACTGTTTTTCAAATATCCCCTTTTTTGGTGTATGATTTTACTGTATTTTTTCAATCATTTCCCTAATTTTAATTTCTTGCAACTGTCTGATCGCGTAAGCGCAAAGACAGCTTCAATAACCAAGAAGCCCACAGCAATGGTAGGATTTTTTTTCTATGGGAGTTGTTTAGATCTCTGGGTGTTTGCAGTTCAAATATAAACAAAAATAAAATGGAGAAAATAAAATAAAAATAAACATATGACTTGAATAAAACAAAATGAACAAAGATGGAAAAAAAAATGTGTAAGGTTTATTATTGCGAGATCGTTTTCACATTCGGTATAAAATCTATTATAGACTTGAATATCATATGAATATCAACTTCGGTGTCCTCATCGGCGGCCGGGCAACTTGAATAATACAAAATGGGTCACAGAGACTGGCTTCTAAATTCACTGTGATTGTACGGTAATGCGGTGTGTACGTAAACATCAGACTGTTAAAATTATACACGAACGCCATTCAATCACATCATCGGTGTCAGCCATTGAGTAGACGTCAACAAGCACTCCAAACGAGTTCGTCGATGAGGGCGTGACAGACACAAGTACGTACAGTAAGTGAATCCACAGACCATATCGCAATTCCAGATTTGAGCCGCGTCAGTAGACGCGCGTTATTATAGGCTGAGTTGTATTACGGTTTGATTTGGTCAAGATTTTTCAACAATTCGCTATGGATTTGCGATAAGTAAAATATTAAAGGACGGTGGTCGTCTCGCCGCGCCCTTTTCGATATGGGACTCATAGCGACGTATACAACGCGTGTAAAATACATTGTTTATACATTGTTCATTTACATGAAATTCGAACACGCGCTGCGCGACGATCACCGCGCTTTAACTATGATAAGACACGGAGGCATGTTGTCATGGCCGAAATGATGGATTCTCAAGTTACTATGAGACATGTTTACATTGGAGTACAAATGACTAGTAAGGAATTCTGGCTAAATCTTATACAGATATTCATGCATGTGGAATGAGTGTAAGGCAGCAACGAACACACTGTCACATTCACTCATATTGTGATAGTGTTCTTCCCTGAATCATGATTTCTAGTCCATGCTACAAACTGTAAAGTATTTTCGAAAGAAAACTCTAGTCGAATAATCTATACGCCATTCCGCAATGGCCTATTACATCCAAGACTGAGAAACATTTTACAGCATTCATGATGGTAAATCCTAACCACTAGAACAATATGGTTTAATCTTTATTCATCAAGTTTTTGACATTTCCATTTCCCGCATTGTATTACGCTAATTAAAATAAATAAATAAATAAATAAATAAATAAATAAATAAATAAATAAATAAATAAATAAATAAATAAATAAATAAATAAATAAATAAATAAATAAATAAATAAAATCATATCTTGTTGTGAATGTTTGTACTGCCGCCTCCATTACCTCAATTCACTGAATGTAGCCTGCACATCCCGAAACGTGTGTTTGCACACTGGCTGATAACTCATATGACTGATGTCCATATTTATATATGTTCCCCTCGTTGTTGTCCCACAAAAAAATAATAATCTATATCTCATTTATCTCATTATCGCAAAATCACTTGAGTTGAAGGAATGACCTGCCTTGAACATGACCTTTCTATAATGAGACATACGTTACGTAACCTAATATGCACAGACCAGGTGTCCGAAGCAAGATTACCGATGTGGTTTGATCGACGTGTCCATGCCGAGTGTCCGACACGTTATACTCAATCGCAATTGTTTGATAAAATACTCTACATTATTCTGTCAGTCAGGTAAGAACGGTTATCTCATGTTATTTGTGAACGTGATGTATTGACTAGATGTTCTATCTGTCCCGTCTCGCCATGGGAAAGCTCACCCACGTTTATATGCAATCAACTCGCTGGATACACATAATAGACACACTGACGCTATGATAATCTATTTAATTCTATCAAATCTGATTTAAATTGAAAAAGGCACATGTATTCCCCAACCACGTAAATCATAACTGCATGTGACAATTACTCAGAACGTGACGTCAACATGGATATCGACATCACACTGAGCTATACATCCGGGGTATTCTAACAAAGCGATCAGTCTAATTTTAATCACTGCCCGTATATTTACTACGATTGCCACTTTATTGGGGGATGATGACGAAGGAGGTGACGTAACGTCTATAAGTAAAATGAATACGCGTACGGTTGTTCTCATAAGCATGGCATCACGAGATTTGACAATAAAGTCATATCATGAAAGTCGCGCGGCCCTCTGTTGAACACGCCGACTTTTGACATTACAACAGCAAAACTCAAGTTATGTTCAAGATGCAATGTTTTATCTCGGCTCTAACAGAAATAATAATAATAATAATAATAATAATAATAATAATAATAATAATAATAATAATAATAATAATAATAATAATAATAATAATAATAATAATAATAATAAAGGTTTACTGTTGTTCCTTATACTATATCGTCTTCTATCCTGAGTTGATGTCATCATATCAGTTATATCAACTGTAAAATCTTAATATTGTTAAAACTGTCCTGGTTTAATCATGCATCGTTCTACAGTAATATTTAGTGGATTCATCCAAGACACAATTCTTAGGACGTCACAACTTTAAATTATACAAAGATAATGCAAATCAATTAAATTCTTTGGAACAAAAATCACAAAGTCTGTCCTTATGGGGTTTCAAAATGAAAAGTGCCAACCTAATGTAAAAACAATATAACAATGTCAAGACAATGCCAACCTAATGCAAAGACCGTGAAAATATAAGAATGTCAACTTAAGGATAATATACAAAGAAAAACACTAAAATTAAGCAAATAAAAATAATTTAGGCACTGATCTCACCTCATATGTCCTCGACTGAGGGCGCAATGTTCACGAAATGAAAATGGTCTGGTATATATCAAGATTGTAACACTTAAAAACACTAAAACTGGACACAAAGAGATCATGACATCAATACTTTAACTTTTTCTGCTACATGACTCTTTCTGTATTTTTCTCTTTGGTATCTTCAATCAAAGTCACGTAATATCATTTTCCTGTTGAGTTGCGCCATCTAGCAAGAATTGCTTCAACAAAAAACAAACGTACACAAATGTGTTCAACCCAACACCGAGTACATGGGTCTAATATGCAAATGTTGGCTTAGGCCCAGCTGGCTTAAAACCCGACCAGTTAGAGGGGAAAACAATTGTCGTTCGATTATTCATTGGAAGTTTAGCCGTTCGTCACATAGAATATAGTAAATCTCTCTTAAAAAGTAATTTGTTTTAACGGACGACTACCTTTTATCGAAACTTTCACTCGTATAGTAGTACGTCACAGAAAAACTCGTGTTTGTCTTCAATTGAACTGTTTTCTATAGAGTGCACTGTGCTCAATTATTCAGTGTTTCTACAGCTACGACTGAGCTAGTGAAGGGGTACTCGTTTTCGAAAAAAAATACAGTTTTCATGCTATCTTTAGTGTAATGAATACAGATTTTTGTGCGATTCAATAAAATGGTCTTCGTAAAAGGAGTCGAAATAAGAACTCGTAGTAGTTCTGGAATATTGAAATGTCCTCGTACAGATATCAGACTGGTGTGCTGTAATGTATTTCAGTGTATGGAGCTATATTTTACAACATTTTATCGACTCGTATTATCATCATGGTACAGGATGTCGGAGGGAAAAGTATGATAGATGAACGAGAACTTAAAATAGTTTCATGTATCTGATCTATACGTTCGTTTGAATTCCGCTAAATCCTGGATATTTCTGTCCATGCCAGTTAAACATTTCAAGTTATTTTTATACACAGAGTACAATAGTCGGTCGTAATAGTGAAAATTATCGTTTTCGTTTTGGCGGTATTCTTCATATTTCTCGCTATTCTTCGAGCGGTCAAAGAAATGGCGCACCGTGACGTCATCGCAGCTAGCAACAGCGAGCCTCCCTAAGCCATCCCAGAAGAATTCGTAATGGGCGACTCTAGCAAACTCGGGATCAAATCCAACCTCCCGTACAGACAGTGTCTTTGCCATAAAGAAATTAGTCACTTCGTCGGTTACGTTGCATTGTGGGAAGCCCTCTACTTTCCCATAATTCCCCTTGCGTCGTGACACGCAGTAACTTCCATCGGCATTGCGTTTACGTTCAATAATTCGATCGTAGTTCCGGGACATTAATTTCCCGTTCTTATCCTCGTATCGCCCAGCAATTAAATCGAATTTAAAATTCGGATTTTCAAATTTGTGCACAAAAGTCTCTAATTTGGTGTTTTGTGAGAAAGTAAAATCGTCGTCTACCCACAATAGGTACTTCGTAAGAACTTGGCTGATTACAAGATTTCTGCCAGCGAACCAACCGGCCGCGAACGGCATCCGGAAATGACGTACATATTTTCCTTTCACCGGCTCGATATTTTCCGAATCGTCTGCAACTAAGATCGTGACGTTTGTATAAAATTTTCTTACGCTCGCAATGAGCTCCCTTATGGCATCGTATCGCTCAAACGTCTTCGTTACTATGGTTACTTTCTTGCTAATGTGGTCATTAGTTGATATGTTATATAAACGGGGGTATGGTCGACGAAATATTCGTACGTGAACTTTGAGCACAAAATCTAATATACGGAGTTCCACTACTTCGCGTAAATCGATATCATATTTGATACATTGATATATTAATGTTCCAAATAACTGATTTATATCTCTGATATCGCTGTCTTTGTCGATTGTTATTCCTAATTTTGGACTTCCATTCCCGTGCAATTTTATTTTGTTCTCTGCTTTTTCGGGGACGACAGCGTCAATCGCGCCATAAGACAGCGATGATGTGAGGCTCACGTTGAACTGTCGATAGCGTAGAAACAATTTCCAAAACTTTTTATCAAGCGAAATCCCGACTAGTCTCGCGCTTTGTAGTGGTTCCACTGCTATGCCGCCTCCGACGTAGGTGATTGGAGACATTGCACGACACATAACAAGCGGCTCAGTGGTGTCCAAGCTTGTCGCTTCTTCCATCTGGTGAGTCCTTCTCTTTATCGTCCGCTCGTTTGTGATTGGTCCGTAGACGTATTCTCCTTCACATTCACAGACGTCCTCGGTATATTTTCTTTCGCCTTTCTTTTCGGAGTCAGCCCGCTCTTTATTATCGCCCATCGCGCTTACTAAGAACTTGTCCAAAATCTCATCTTGCGTTAGACGACCTGAAACTTCCATGTCCTTGGTTTCCATGGATATGTCGAAACGTAGAGATGAAATTTCACTATATATACAGAAAATAACACACAAGGCAAGAATAAGAAGGAGAGCGATCACGTAGCTACGAAATCCACCCTTCATAATGTCGACGGTCAGTTCATCTGATGTGACGTCACATTCCCGATAACCTGTAATAATTGTACATAATTATTAGTTTACTTTCTTAATCTATATGCAAACATAACAGTATATTGTGTTCATTTCAATATTATTATAAAAAAATCACGGACACTGGCCACCTCTTTTTTTTTAACTGTAATATAAACACGACTCATTGAGGTTTGTAAGTATATTTAATTATTTTTTAATTATTTCAATATTTTGAGCATATTTCATGTATTAACCAATAGAAATATGTCTGAGAAATAGTTTTATAATTTTAATTCAAAATACATTTAGTCAGCCAAATTAGTATTATTTTTCTATCTATTCGCTTATCAATGTGTTTTTTTCCGTGGAAGTATTTTTCAGTCCTCACTTTTCTAAATGTAGATTTAGATACCTCAAAAACCCTTGTGAATGAATTTGACATGTTTTTATATTGGAAATTTTACATGGTTGACCAAAACATACAATCTCCCTGTTATCTCACCGTAATACCCTGGGAGAAACCACGTCAGTTACATATACACTCTCAGTTGACGTCCGATTGTCGACCACACCTCAGCATCCTACGTGTACGTTAATTGCAAAGTGTAGGTCAAAGGTCTAACAGCAATTATTTGAAAATACCATGTACACTACATGTCATTCGTTGCCACTATAGATATGGAAAGCCCTTTTACAATGTCCCAGCTGTTACTGCGCACTAGTGTTAATCTGTATTGAACGACAAATATTATGAAACGCGAAATTGTGATTTCATGTCTGGCCTGTCTAAATCGAGCCAAATAAAAACTGGATTATGTATTTATAATACATAGAAATTGGTTATTTTAATGACATCACGCTTTAGGCTCGAACAGGAAAATGGGTTGATGGCGGGCGCCACTACAGGAATCCTTCAAAATATAAAATAATCGCCCCTTTTCTTCAATTATTGTTGGTTCCAAGATATATATTCGCGCGTGATATGGATATGTCATCAAGTGTGATCCTCATATTTCGATATTCTAATATAAGATTGCCCTACCTTGTATTCAACGACATCTACAACCAATGTTGTTGTATCACCATAAAGAGATTTACAGCTAACACCGCCCATGTCCCGGCATCATCGCCGTGCTTAGTAATACCGATATTGATAACGTACAGTATAAATGTCTATTACATTCACATTCACCACAGTAATGAATACACGTTCTCGTCAGAATCACACGTGTGAATGGCATTATAACCCATAATGCCGAGCGCCGTATGTTGTCACTTCCTGCATAGCAAGCTGTTACATGAATGTGTGTCGTGTGTATTCATCAGCGTGCTGTGATCTTTCTTTCAATAGACCATTTTCCGTTCACTGCGAGAATCACACATCTCGCGAGATCTCGCAATTGTACGAAAAATCACCTATTGTAAGAGATTTGATGATGTTAATATACAGTTTCAGTCTCAATTTCAGATTGTGTACAATTGTGTTCTGATACCACTAAGAGTGGAACACAATATACTAGTATATAATTCCACATAATAAAATACACTAATGGTTGCGACATTAACGGTATTGCGCCCTCTATCATTTCACTCGCGAGCACCCGAGCATTTTTTTTTTATTGAACGATCAGTTTTTTTTGTTTGCCTTACCCTAAAACCAAATTTCAGGGAAAGGTATAGTTGACAAAGTGTCTGTCGTCTGTCATACGTCATTATGCACTCAATTATGCATAAAGTTTGAATTCGATCTATAATAAACTGATACATGTTTTTTGTTAAACACTGCGGCAAAGACTATCCGTTATCGACATTGTTAAGTTGTTTTTTTGTTTTATGGTGAAAAAAATGAAAATATCTGATTTTGACAAAAGAAAGTCCAAAATATATTGAGAATAAATCATGACGATATGTATTCCAATGCAAATTAGTGATATTTTTCATAATTAACGATTACACAAAAATAACAATATAATTGTCAATATTTTTGCAATTTTGTTTTTTGAATTATGACTGAAAACAGCTGAATACAATTACAAACTATGTAAATTTTATGTACATTTTTCCGCATAAAATTCATTACTAGTAACGCACAAACACGTGTGTATATTTGTGAACTGTATGTTATCTATATGTACAAAATAATAATAATATATTAATAAAATACCATCCTCGCTTAAATATTAAAGCGGAGGAGAGGGGAGCCGTCACCTGCGCATGCGTCAGATAGCCATAGCGTGTCATTATTTACCAACAAGCGTCTACCCGTGAGCCTTTGCGTTTTATCGTGTGTTGTTATTGTAGCTTTGGATTCAAGTTCCGCGCGTGCGCATGTGATGACCTTCGAGCTTTAAGTATTGTGCTAGCATGATACGACTTGTCTTGGAACACATTCACGTGGTGCGAAGTGACTTGGAACGAATTGTGCCCGTGACGTGTAGTACAACGTGACCTGCGTTTGAGCGAGCTGTAAAGAAGTGTTTTGCGTGCGAAGTGACGATGTCCAATAACACAACCAGTACCTGGGTTCCATAAATTCACGACAAAAATATATTATTGCGAAAAAGTGTGTCAATGTGATTGCATTATTCGCGTAACTGATATTGAGTTAGAAATCCTCGTATAGCTGCAGTAATTGTAGCACTAATACACGATTTTATTTACCGCATACAGTTCCATTACGCATACGATGATGACGTTTACCGTACTCTATCGTACTCAACTATAAATGGTATGCACCGTTGTCACGTGATAACTAGTGCCATCTCGCATTCGACACTGACAGATTAATTCACATCGCATTCTAGTGCTTGATGGCCTAAGCGTTAGCAAAAAGAATAAGGGAAGATTTCTCGTCATCGCAATTTTGTATTTTGACGAAAACGTACATTTCGAAATGCAAGTCAGTCTCAGTAAAGATAATCTAATTTTATAACCTGGCCGTAATAATGCGGGCTTAGTGTTCAACAGTTGCTAATAATACACCCACCATCCGCTAGTTATGATTGGTACCCGTATGCGTTCGCGTGTCTTCTACCCACAACCCTCTGCACGCATGCGCATTATCAGTTTATCTCGCTGAAGACGAATACAATGAAATAGATTACCTACTAAAAAGCATTCGACATAATAGTGCGTTTTTCGGATGCATTTATGCTGTATGGTTTATTCTGTCTTTTCAGACTTACATATATCAATTCTTATAACCTTCACGTACAGAAGAAAGTCTAACAGGAGTCTTCTGTGGAGTATTTGGTGAGTATGAGATATGTTTCGTTTATGTATGCACTGTATCAACGCAGTCAGAAACTGTCACGCAATGATGAAATTATATATGCATCCTGATTAAATTTTCACGAAAACGCAAACTAGACCCGTATGCAAATCATGTCCACCGCTGAAAATTAATTATCGTCTAATGCTCGAAGCTGTGGTTTGTAGTCCTGGCCCGTTTCCTTTTAAATTTGGGAAACATTGACTCGCATGTACAACTTTTGTGATGGACCAGTACATGCCCACACAGCATTTATTTTACGTCATTTAATTAGTTTCCTCTCTATTCAATTCCCGTGTTTTGCCTTTGTATTTTAGTTATTCATTTATTTTTTATTTTACTTTATTCAATTTTAATTATTTTTTTTTAATATTTTTATATATATATATATATATTTTAATTTAAAATCTGCGTTTATTAAATTGAAGTTGTTGTAATTGTTATATTGATTAAATTACTTTATTGCTTTGGCTTTATTGTTCAGGATAACAACAAGAAGTAGAAAATAATTTAAATTTGTATTCAGATATCACTTACTAACAAACTGTACTGTGACAGGGAAATACCCGGACACCCCCAACGTTTCGAATTATAGCGGAAAATTTCTTTATGTGCTGGGGGACACACAATTATTGACAACGTATAAATCACGTGATTTGTCTAATAGTGAGCACGAGTGGGAATAGACCATTTTCCGTTCACCGCGAGATCCCGCGTTATACGTGAAATCGAGTGTTAAAACAGGACAAGCAAAAGTCAAGCGTCGTAGTAGCAACAAACATCGTGTGGGATTCGACAAACGCGAAAGTATTTCGGGGAATATTCCCATGCTTAATAATATACTGTACATATTTGATGATGGTCAATCTCGATGAAGTAAGGGTATCTAAACGCTATATTTCCCTGTCAAAGATCGGCCTTTCGATGTGAGCTACGAAATTAGGAAATTCGAGTTCAAAATCAAATCGTTCGATTTTTGCAGCAGCGTTCGGCGCGCGTCTTTCAAGTAACTCGCGAGATCTCGCAGTATCATTATATTGCGTATATCATCTTGTTTATAAATTGCGCAATTCTTGTGTTCGATGTGAATCGCTTTTGGACGAAGCGAAATGGATTTTTTTCTCCGTCAATAAATCGTTGGTTGATACGTTCCAGTGATCGCATTCAGCACCCTAATCAAACTATATATTCTATCGTATGTATTGGATGTGTGAGTTTCCTGGAGTCATAACGCTGTGTATCTCAAACTTAATTTTTCATTAAACAGGACCAGAATATACATTATATTATATACGTTACAAGACTATGTAGTGATTCATAAACCCGATGATCTAGGTATAACAGCACAAAGTTACAATTCCTCATCAATAGCTTAGTAACAAACCAATAGTATCGTTACCAACATCTAAAAAGAAATGAATTATATTATTTACTATTACCACCACAGAGGGCGCATTCACATCCGAAGTAATTCCATTGACTGCCATCTCTCTATAATGCGTTATCGACGGACCATACCGACTTTACATGGTAATTATAGTGAAAATTGATTGAGTGATTAAGTTATCATCAGAACTTGAAATACCTAATCTTTGCGACACTTTGCAAGAGCAATATATTATTCAGCGGTACTTTAATCCTAAACTCATACCATCTGATTTATTGACTAATTTACTCTGTTTGGCCGGCTGATTACTAATAATCCCACGATATTTTCTGT